GGCATATCTGATGTTAAGCATATGTACCTGAGAAGCACACTGGTTCGGGACGGACCATGGTATTGTGCCAATTAGCCCCCTCTCCAAATCATCGAAATTTGTCACCATATATCTAAGGCCTTGTTGGATACAACAAATTAACAAAGAAAAGAAACACGCACAGGTAGCACGTCCATATCGAAGAGAACAGGCTGAAGGAGCTTAGGAGCCTAAGCATACCGTTCTCAGTATCGTGCAATCAACACTTCACAATCAGACACACCATATCGCTGCAATCTGCCAGTCGACTCTTAGGGTCAAGCTGAGCAGTCAAGTATAGAAGTCACTCACTAGCGACCGTGCCAGTGGGTGCTTGCGCAATCCGCCTGACTGCTTGAAGAAGACATAACATTGCAGACAGAGCATGCCGAAGAAGCTGATAATAAATGTGTGAGTAATCGAGAGCTTCTTGCAAGCATGTAAACTGACATAGCGGAGACCACCGTGCCTATCAGGAAAGGCCCGAGATACAGGCCTGGGGACGGACGCAGGTTGCTCTGCATGTTAGTTAGGGGGCCTGGGGTCACTGAGGGAGAGAGAGTCTATGTACATTCCCTAAGCGCATAAGGTTCATTATAAGGCATGCTCTGGAATGATAAGTATCAAAATGTCATGGCAAGATTCGTTCATCACAGAGCACAGCGGTGGAGTATCACGAAGGGTGTGCTGCAATCAGCTGGAAGCTAATATCTCACCATTGTACATCTGACATCACCAACAACGTCGTTACGTACCCCGCCATCTCTAACAGCAGAGACAGACGGTGAGAACAGCGACGCATCTACTCCTAGGCCGCGCGTTGCGGCAGAGCATAGCCCTACTTCCTATGCAAAGTCTGCTGAAACAACGTCAGAACAGGGCGCTGCAACTGCCCAGACACCTTATTTCCGAGCTTAAAGGACCAGGGACTTCCGCTAGTTGACATGATGCGTTCCTGCTGCAGTTCCTGAACTCAACAGCATGCCTACGCGCGGACAGCGGACTCGCTCGTACTGTGATGCGCAGAAGGCAGAGAGCGCGCTCAACAACGTGCAGGCAAGGCACGAGGTCCGTCTCATGCGCAATATAGCTCTGTGCAGCGAGGCTGGAAGCGGGACGCACGAGCCTGTTGTAGCCTGCAGTAGTCTGGGTAAGCAGTTAGTAGGCACAACGACTGCGGAACAAGCGGAATCCGTACCAGTGAAAAAAGGCATGATTCATTACAATCTTCTAGATCTCAACTCGTGTAGTACGTGAGAGAAGGTCAATTCGAGGATGACAAGGGAGTGCTTGCAATAATTCAACTGAGCCAGGCTCGGGGTATGCTTTTGCGGCTTGGAAACGGGCGATTGGACGTACACCCGACGTGGTAACTGTCGAACCACCTTCTGTACCGCTTCCCTGCGTGCGCAGTGGGTTTTACGGCGTGTAGTGAGTGAGTATGAATATGTGGTCCCAAGGTTCGTCGTCGCGGCTCCGGTTGAGGTAGGATATATCGGGAAAGTTATAGATAATCGCCACGTGGATCACGGCGCTGAGCGCTCGCGGCCGCCAGTAGTGTCTCGCACACCTTCCCTCCCAAGCTTTGTGATATCGAACCCTCTCTCTAATAAAGTCATACCAGCACACGGTCGGTTTATACACAACGAAGGCGGACGCTTTGAATTGAGATCTTAGTTCGAAGGGATGGGACGGGTGGGGCGCTGCTGGCGGCGGCCTATACGCTTTTGCCGTACGTTTCGCGCTGTACTTTCGAACAGCTAATCCCAATCTTTGCGCGGCGAGGACAGAGTCAACATTCTATTTTTATCAAGCCAGAGACCACACACTGTACTCAAGGGGCGCGAGACGGAAGGTGGAAGGGGTCGGTCTCAAGCACAACCTAGGTGCCCTCGCTGCCCTCCCTGGGATAAGCTTCGCAGCCATCACTCATTGTTGTTAAGTTATGCACGAGCGCGTGCTCCCGCTGTTACACAGCGCCTGGCTCAGTCCCGCCCCTCACTGATCTCTTGTATGTTGACATGATCATCGGGAGCTGGCGACTGCTTCTTGGACAGCTTGCCGAGCACTGGCGTGAAGGTCGCGGTACGCGCGCATGTTGTTGTCGAGGAGCCCCAGCCGACGCCAGCGCGATAGAGGCCTCGGTGGACAGCTCACAGATTTGATGCTCGGCAAGGCCGAGGGCGTCATATAGGCTTGGTCTCATTCGACAATGGGCGCGTCCAGAGAGGGTGCGGTTTATAACGCCGGTATGTGTTGCGGGCATGCGTTATCAATTTTCGACATGCGCTCAATTATTCTGCTTCGCAGCAAGGTCTGAATTGCCTTGACATGGCGTGGGAAGCATGAACTCTACAGTTTGAGAGCAGAGGGAACGGATACTGGCATGCTCCATGGGCATTACTGGCGCCTACATGGCCGGATTGAAGGTGCGCCATATGCAAGTGTGTGACTGGCTTCCTAGTTGCTGACAGTACTATGCTAGCCACTCTGGTTAATCCGCCTGCCGACTTTGGCCGAATTTACGCTCGACGGGGACAATTAAGTCCGCCGAATGCGTTAGCGCGAACATCCGGTAGCCATAGGTTTTCGATAACGTCCCGTATTTCAACACGGTGGAGTACTTGCTTAACGTTCGAAGCTGGTGCATTGGACCACGTATATCAAAGTAGGAGCACGCAAGTGCCTGAAGAAGCTGAGGCTTTCCTGACTCTCTTCAAGATGCTTTCTTGCAGCGCGGAGAAGCTCGTGCCCGAGGGTGAGAAGGTAACCTGGTACTCCTGTGCAAGATTATCCTTGCGTTAATACATCTTTATTCGAATCCGGGAATAGCATGGAAGAGGAAAACCGTCTGCAGCTCCGGGAGCTTGCGCTGCGTCATGCCCGGACGGTCGTGTAGTCATCTGGACTTGAAGTTAAGAGCCGAAGATGTTAGGGTGAGTCACTCAATGCAATAACGGCACGCAGATGTTGAGCACTTTCGTGGTATTTGTAGGACGAAACGCGCTTAGGCTAAGGAATGACCTTTTGGTCGAATATGAAAGGGAGAAAGCAGTGATAGAGCTCGATGCAAATGAGTTAGGCAAGGTACCTGAATTGCACTTTCTTTCTCTTTCACTACGCTTACTCGGCCCAGGTACTCCAGGACGAGTGACTCTGGGTATCAGCAACCTACTGGCTTCGTACGCAATGAAGCAACGCGTCAGCCGCTTCGGACGCCCGCCACACGAGCCTCGACAGTGCCATGGATACGACAGACTCTAAATACTTAGATCTCAGCGACTCAGAGCGATAATAGTGGAGCTCGACAGTCTCAATCTCGTGGCATGCTATGAAGTAGTCTCCGAGCAGCCTCGTAAATAAAATATTTGTCCGTTGGTTCTCGCGTGTTTCATACACTGCAGATTACCTGAATAGCGCTCTGCGGCAACCCTCCGGCGTCGTACAGCATTAAGCTGCTTATTCGAACCATACATCAGACAGATTTCTCTTTGCCGCCATCCTTTTTCGAATGTTTCTCCAGCAGTTGTGCGGCAGTTATTTGCCAGATACAGGGCTTCTTGTTTCCAAGCTTCAAGCATAATCATCCTAATCACATAAGTGCAATAGTATATGCCATGCTTATTTTCTAAGAGCATTGTACCGGCTTGTACGGATAGATGTCCCTACCGTGACCCCTGTTGTGCGGTAAGGCTCGAAGATTATACAGACTCGGAGTATCTGACGTGCGTCAAGCTAGAGCATATGGACCTTTAATCAGCCTTCGTGCACTGTTTGTAGCCGTAGGAGGGCTATAGCATTGTTCACACCTCGTCATCATGCAGTCTGGCTGTGCGCCGTAAAATGTGTCAGCGATTGTGTGACCAATAAGTTAGAAGCCCAGAGGAAAGTTGTAGAGACTATCTGCAGCGTCTTTGTAAAGAGCATCAGTGCGCAGCAGCCCAGTACGCATTCGGTTATGCACTGGCAGGACGCCGAGACTGAACACAGCAATAGGAACGTTTATATCTGAGCAGGAAATATCGCCGACGCGCCGGCTTTTATTTCGCCAGGACAGTCTAAACTCACCTACACCGTTTTCCGTGACACATGTCCAATTTAAGTTGCTGTCCTGTTCGAGCATGCCTCTTGGCAAGACCGCTCGCAGTTTTCCGCTTTTCTGCGCGGGTACGCTTGCGGAAAATCCCGCGCAGCAATTTCTCTAATTCCCTTATACATGAAGACAAAGATCCGTAGCTGTATAGTACGGCTGCTCCGCTCTGGAATTGCCATATGTCAGCATACCACTTCACTCCCTTGCCGCCATGCCACAGGTCGTGTTCGACCGGCGCTGGTTTCACGGGTGGGTGTAGTCGGACATACGTACAACTTAAGCACCATGGTCCTCTACGTCGGGTTTGTATTATTCTTCACCGCATGCAAGCCAAAGTCGGTCCACATTGGCCGCCAGCTGGACAACGTTAGGCTGAAATGGCGTATAAGGCTTCACATTTCTTTAGTATGCCACGTTGGTGAAGTCATGATGTGCAGGCCGGCGCATCAGTGTCGCCGCGCTGCTGTCTCTGGCATCAAATTCCGCTACCGATATTTGGTAAGACGGCTCACCACCGACACTGCTCGGTCACAGTCGACCTCGATTTGCGCTTTCGTATGTACTCGCACACGAATAGCCACCGTAAATGATGCAATTTGTAATCCTTACGCGTACACTGTAGAGGCTCGCCGTCGGTGTTCGAACGTCCAAGTAGATCGATCGCCGAGTTAACCAGTGCAGCTACGAGGTGCTTTGTGGCCAGCTCCTCGTATTGTGTTATGACTTCGGTCGCTGCTGCAGGGCGGTGTCGGGCAGCAACTGGGTTGGGTAGAAAATCATATGTATCGAACGATACCCTTAAATACGTCTTACGTACATGAGCGGCGCAAACCAGTCTTGTGTATGGTGGTGTACGTTATGGCATACTTCGAGTACAGAAACCAACCAGCGAAGGTGCTATGGCTCACCTACTTCCTCTCGACCACGCTTCTCTTCCAGCTGCCTGCTTGGATTTTTCTATCAGCAGTCCCTGCTTTCAGGCCGAGGAGATCATGGGGCTTCTTGCGCACCTTCACCGTGCACTTCATCAAAGCGTTTGCTAACGAAATGCCGTTTAAGATTGGTATCCAGTGGGCAGGAGGCGGCAGTGAGAAGGATTCAGCACATCCAGAACAAACAGGCTTCGCCTGGGTCAACCCGGTCCCGGAGTCACTTGTAGTCGGCGAGATAAATAGTGTGGCGCGACACAACGACGCTGCACCCGCGCGCGCCCCCGGATACCGGTACAGGGCCCCAAACCAGAGGGGAAAGCACGACCAGCCCGCTCAGAACGGGGAGCGGACAACACACCATCCTCACGGTGCGTCACACCACCACCCGCACGAGCCGCGCCCCAACCCCCCTAATCTGCAGGGGGAGCGCATATTGTAAGTCCCAAGGTTACACAAGCGGAAAGGCTAAAATTGACCCAATGGGATCTTGCAGTCAGGGTCTGCCGATCCAAAGGGCTTTCAAGTGCCCACGATCCGCGCAATCCTCGAAACCTCCAGCACGGTTGTCCAGCGCGCGTTCGCTGTCGAGTACCGACTTGCTTCCTCTGCACCATTCCCCGCCGCCAACCCGTTCCTAGTCGCCTTAGTCGACGCTCTATCAGGATACTATTATCTCGTCGAGGATCTCGGGTTCAAGCCTGAAAACATCATCGTCGCGGGAGACTCCTCCGGCGGACACCTCGCGGTCGCGCTCACGCGGTACCTCGTCGGAGCCGCCATCTCATCACTCGCCACTCCCGGCGCTCTCTTCCTCCACTCGCCGGCCATGGACTGAGAAACACGCACATGGGGACGCCGCACTCGACGATGGTCGCTAATGACCCCACGGATTTCGTGCGCATGTACTTCGAGAGCGGCTACAGTGCACGCAGCCTGCTCGGCAGCCTCGACTCGGAGGAGATATAGACCAATGCATGGCTCTCGCCAGGCTCCCTAAAGTTTCCAAAGAGCGACAGACTTTATCTCGGGTTCCCAGAGACGCTGATCATCGCTGGAGGTGCAGAACAGTCGGTGGATGCCATGCGAACTTTTCGTGACTGATTAGCAAAAGGTATCGGGGAGAAGATGACGTACACAGAGTATCCAGACGCATCTCACGACTTTATTTTGATGTCATGGCATAACCAGAGAGAACAGAGGCTTTGCAGGAGATCAGCGGCTGGTTGCGTAGATTATACTCCGTTATGGGCCATGAACGCTATTTAGATTAGATCACATGATTTTCACGTGACAGACAGGACGTCTTCTTCCGCAAGTACGGTATCTCAAAAGCTAGCCATCGTATTGGAACGCAATTAGAATGTGCAAATGAGGCGGATTTAGCCCTGGTGCGCCTGACAGCCCTCGATATCCGACTTGCGCTCGAATCCCTAGGTTGCTCTGGAGGTATGTAAGAGGGTTCCCGTTTATGATCTCTCACGATTTCCTCGCTACAGAATGATCCTTTTGATAACGCTTTTCCGCCATGCAGAGACGCTCCTTAGTGGAACAGGACACAGATGTACTGAGTTTGCCGAAACTGGCTGGCGGAGGTGGCACACGAGATATAGCCGATACGGCAGGTACCGCGGCTCGATTTGAGCTCGCGGGAACTGGAACGATGCTCTAGAGCGCGCCCTACAAGCTCGATCTATTACAAATCTAATATTTAAGCGGACAATGTGAGACATGGAAGAGCTACTGAGTCGAAAGTCCACAACCTAGGACAGACATCTGCGGAGCCCACATCTCACTTCAAGCGATGACTATCGCTTAGAAGATGGTGTCAGCCCAAGCACCACCGTACATCCCTGTAAAGATGTGGCAGTCAAAATCATGTCGCGACGAAAGCAGACAAGGGACGTACAGAAGGTAAGAGTGGACTTGACGAGGGCCTCAGGCTGGCCGGGGGTGCAGTTCTAGAGAGGACGTTAGTCATGCGCCAAGAGAGCTCGAAGAAGTCAAGTGTCACGTACCCCGGGAGGGTAGTTGCCGTCGTTGCAGTGAATGCGGTAGATCTGGTCTGCGAGCACACCGTCCTGCTTGCCGTCGAGCGTAATCGCAGACGAGCTGATCCAGGGGGCGTCGAAGGTGGCGTTGTCTGGCGAAGGAACCATGGCGGTGTCTCCGCCAACGACAAACGCATTCTTGACGTTCGGGTCGTTCTTGAGACGCTGCTGGCTGAAGTCCCAGACGGAGTTGATCGCAAGCGGGTTGCTTGGCTGGAGCGGGCTCTGGATCCAGTAGTGGATGCCGAGCGAGAAGTTCGAGCTCGCGCCCTGTGTCGCGAGGTCAATGACCTCTTGCGGGGACACGCCCTCGCCGGCAGCCTCCCAGAAGTTCGCAACGAAGGTTGTGAACGGGGCGATGCTCTCGTCGGGAATGCAAGAGATATCGAAAAGCTCAGTAACAGCACCGATGTTGCTATAAAACACGGGAGATTAGTTTAATTCAGCACTAGCCCAGTTCTAATCGGACGTACAACCAGGTGCCGTTATCGAGGCAGCTGTAGTTCTGGTAGCCGACCGACAGAGCAACGAAGGTCGGATATTCTGCGACCGGCTTGGTCAACTTGTTATCCGCACCAAGCATCTCGTCGAACATGGCTTCGATGTTGAACTTCTTTGTCGAGCACATCGACCCCTGGCCAGCCCGGCTCACGGCGCGGGCCTCGGGGGCAGGGGACGCCTGGGCGAGGAGGGGGAGGGCGAGAGCAGAGAGCAGCTTGACGATAGACAACATGGTTGGATCGGCCGTGCTGAGTTGGCTGTGGAAAGGATGCTTGGAGCACTGAAGAATTTCGACGGCCTTCGCTATGTTTTATACCCAAGAGGTAAACCCTGAGGGGACGTTTCGCCTCAGTACGCGCCGTCCGATCGCGTCGTCGGAACGCGCGTACTACGGGTCCGTTGGCGGTGCGACAGCAGACGGAGGTGGAGACAAATGGGGGGCGGGGGAATCGCGCCTGGGAGTACGTAAGGGCCGCGCCGAACAGCGTCCAGTAAGACTAACCCCAGTAAGTTGGAGGATCATAGCGTACCGAATACCATGCCTACTCAGTTCGGATATTTTTTGCATCGCCCACCTTTGACCCTGGCTCAAGTTGCCACTGTAGGAATCACATTTGTCAAGGCAAAGACTTAGCTTGGACTCAAAGCCCGAGCTTGGGTTCGTAACGAGGACGACCCTAGTTTTGAGCCCGAACCCAGCCTGAGCCCGGTTCATGCCGTATCTTCAAGCCCGGGGTTAGCTGTGATATAGCGCCTGTTCAGATGGCAAGGAAAGTTGACACTTGAACTCACCACATCACGGCTTCAGGGCGCTGCGGCGCGCAGCCAACACCATTAGCCAATAGCAACAAAGTTGATGAGCGAGCGCTTGGGGCCGACGCACAGCTGTGGACCGCTGGGAAATGATCTGTTCGGCTAGCGAGTGCTTCACCCTTGCGCGTATTTTTAATATGACCAGCATTTCAAGTGCTTGGAAGGTCAAGAAGAATGGGCGCACCCAAACCGAAGCTTTCAGGTCGGGCAAAGGTCGGACTTCATCTTGTGGGTAACGGGTGGATGGTTAGTTCACAGGGACAAATCGAGCGGTGCTCGGCCTGACGTAGTCGTGCAGACTGGAAGACGCGTCGGCAAAGCCGGAGAACAAAGTGTGTCGGGTCTTAGAAGGGCTACCTCGGCCCGTTGATCCACTATGGCGAGCCTGCCCGACTTGAGTGGTGACAAGCACGCTTGAGGACAGGACAGCTGGCTTCGAACCACTGACAAGCACAGAAACATTTGAGGGAGTAGCGTTCATCGGAAAACAAAAGCCTTCTAAAGCCGCTCAATTCTCAAACTCAATCTCTGGCTTCGCGGCCCCATCGCCCTTGGGCAGTGCGGGCCAGCATCGAGCACTATGCATCAGCTAGCCGTCCGCCCTATTGTGCCTCTCAAGGCCGATATTGCCCAGATCTCACGACTCACTTCGACGGCCTCGCTAGCAGCGAAAAATGGTGGACGCTGTTCGCGAACAAGGCGGACCCTGGCGGCACACTCGGTGCCACGCTGGCGATAGTCGGCGGAGGGTATATCAGAACTGGGGTGCCGCGGGCGGCGCGTCCAAAGACCATGACAGTAGGAATATTGGAGGAATGATGGAGGGAAAGCGTCACGACGGGCATCACTAATTCAGGGAAGACCGCCCTACAGTAGCTGCTGAGCATCCGAGGAAGCAGTGTTTCTCGAGGCAATCGTCCGCTCAGATTGCGATCAGTTCATTTATGCCTATTTATAGTG